TAATATCCTGATAAAAATAAAAGACAACAATTATTATGTACACACCAGAAGATTTATAAAAACAATTAAAGAAGTGCTCACAATAATGCATCATGTATGACATGTAAAACATTATAGATTAGAAGACTGTTTAAGGAATTGTGTCAAAAAGCCCTAAAATTTTGGAGAAAAAATTATTAAAATCGAGACCAAAAATTACACAATGTGAACCATGATTTACTACCTGAGATCCAGGAAGCTAAAGGATGGGAAAACCCAGATTGACTGCATAGACAAGAACTCCCAAGTTAGAAACATTCTTTGAGTGAGTGAATGTGGGAAAAACAAAAGGTAGCTTGTAATAAAATTTCTGAAGCTAAAGAGGAAAAAGAAATCCTAAATATTTTTAGAGAAGAAAAAAGGTCATATTATGAAGACTGAAATATCAGTTTCATCAACTTTACCATTATCAACTCTAGAAATTACAGAAAAATGTGTTTTGTGACTATTTCCAAAGCTTTGAAGAAATGTTACTCAAAATAGAAATCTATATTGTCAAAATATGAAGTATGTGGGTTGAATAAACATAATTTTAAGTATGTAACTTCTCTAAAGGAAATGCAAATAAATAGTAGTTGGGGTGACAGGAAATGATCAACATCTGTGCTTCACCAACAAGGAGGAGTTAACGAAGAAAGAATAGAACACAAAATGCAGGCAGTAACAAAATAATGCAAAGCAGAAGATAGAGAAAGGAAAGTCAAGACATACAGCAACCCACAATACAGGCCCGGGAGGTAAATTTTATCATCCATTCTGTACTTAATATGATAGCAATATCGTAGAGACAGTGTGATTTACTTTTGTTAGTTTTATCAACATAGAGATGCTTAGTTAACATATGAAGAATACTTATAGTGAAGATGCACAGTACATTATGTACTGTATAGAATACAGTATGCTGTCCTGTACAGGATAGTATGATAATAGTGATCATCGATTTGACTGGATGAAGAAATTCTTAAAGAAGTGATTAGATTGTGAGGTCACTAATTTTTTATGAGTTTCTAGTTAATTGAGGTGTTAGGAAATAGGATATAATTAAAGGAAGTGGTTCACAGGACATAGTGCAGGGATGACATGTGTTCCTGGCTTGTTCCTCTCTGGCTCCCTGCCCGCCCTCTGCTTCTTTGAGGATGCCAGTAGCTGAGCAGTCTCTCTCTGCAGTGTCCCTCTGCCATGATACTTCTGCTTTGGAGTCATCCAGTCATGGATTGTGAGCCAAACAAATCATTTCCTCTTGTACATCATGCATGACAGTTGTTAACTTACGTTTGTTACCAATGGGAAAGCTGACCAATTCGTACATATATACAGGTTATGTCATTTGCCACCAGTGAGACACTGGACAATTATATCTCTTTGTAAAGATGCTGTAAGAATAACTCAACATTTTAAGACGTTTAGAATTTTATAAAAATTGTTTAAAAATAAAATAACATTTATGAGTTTCATCGACTTTTTCCTCTTGGCAGATATTTCCTCTGGAAACATATTCTCCCACATCAATGTAATTTACTTCTCATTACTCATCAACCTAAGCTAATTTGGCAGATCACAGTTATCTGGTTCTTTAATGAAACATGTAGGTTGCTTCATAGTTAATGAGAGCTATATATAAATCTCTTATTTATTTAATCAAAGTTTATTGGAAATTATAGATACAGGCAAAGTAAGGACGAAGTTGGAGAACCAAGGAAATTCTTATGTAACAAAGAAAAAGAGTTTTAAAATTGATAAATCAAACCTACAAGCAAAAATATTAAATACTAAAATAAATGTGTGACAGAAATAATGGCCTTTTGGATAGTGTATCTCTTACTATCCGGACTGGGTGAGGTGGTTATCTTAGTCTTTATCACCATTTTTGACCTTTCAAATGTATCACTGTAGTACTTTAAGTATGAGGTCTTGACAAAATTTTAAACTATGTTTATGAGTACAAGCTATGTATGTTAGTAAATCCCTTTTGTAGCATTTAACCACTTGACAATTTCAGTTAAACCAAAACTTATCTATTAAGGAAAAAAACATTTCTCCTAGCAAAGGTTCAATCAGATAGGTTAAAAAAAAATCCTGGAAACACCCAAGTACTTCAACCAATAATTTCAAGTCCATACACCATCTGACACATACACCATCAAACGATGAATCCTCTAGAGTTTCATGGCATACACTACATCACATATTGTCTTCTCATTTCAAATACCAGTGACCTTCAATATTGTAAAGAGCTAATTCCCTAGTGTAAGACAGTTTAGAGAAATGACTTGCTTTTTCATAGAATCTGTATGGGCCAAAACATTTTAAAATGCTAAAAGGAAGAAAATAAGTTAAAATAATTGCAACAACAACAACACCTTTACCTCTCTAAAGTTTCTGCAGGATCTTCGGGTAGTTAGATAGGAAAGTCAACTATCACCTTCTCTTTAGAAGCAAAATTCTGGTATTATTTTCCTCATAAACAAAAACAGTTGGAATGTATGAGTTTTAAATTATCCTTGTGCTTTACCATTTTTCAATTTGAATTAGTTTCAGATTTGTACAACATGTTCATCTCTATTATCCCATTTGATCTTAAAATGGCTCTATACAGTAAACAGAGCAAGTGAATTATGGGTAGACATACAATCGGGAAGCTTCAATGACCTGTTCAAAGCCAAACAGCTAGCAAGGTGCAAAAGACAAACTACGACTTTCTACTATTTTAAATTCTCATTTAAAAATCATGCATGTCATATGACATATATGCCTTAAGTATTTATTTCTTCATTTATTCATCAGTAAATACTTAATGAAAAATTACTATGTGCAAAGCCTCATGGATTTCTAAAATATCAGCCTGTCACTAGAGATGTGCTAAAGTCATATTACTGCAAGTTAGGTTTCTTTGCTGTCAGCTCTAGGACTGATCAAAGTCTTTCACGAACTTGTGTCACAGCTGCCATCATTCAAACATTGACTGAAGCAATTCCAGAGAAGAGATGCCTGGAGTCTTATCCAACAGGATCAATAGTCAAAGGAAGGCATATTGGGTTGTTGTAGAAAATTCACAAGAATATCCTGATAGTGGAAAACATTCTACGTTTTTAGTTTTGAACCCATGGTATCCAAAGCTGTTAAGTGTTATGAAGATTATTTTTATTTATATCGTGTCTCCCAGTATCCTTGAAATATAAATGTTACCATATGTGCACAAAATGAGAGAGAAAGTCAAGAATGATTTCCAGATTTCTGTTTTGGAAGCTTGAATACAGTGATAGTGTCTCTCAAACATATAAAGTGATGAGAGCAATTAGATATAATTGGAGATGGTGAATCTCACTTTAGATATGTGCTTCAAAGTGCTTGATGGTTGTCTATATAGGAAATAGACAAACTTGCATTGAATGCTGATCTTGTTCTGAGGCTCACTTGAAGATATGGCAGAAATCTTCATACTAAAGAGTATGATTCAACCCACGTAATCATGCAAGAAGGCCAAGAAAAGCACAAAAGACAGAATCTCAAAGAGCTCCAGATGCTAGACAATAGTTGTTTTTAAGTAAATGTTACATAGAGGATAAAGAAATCCTCAAGATACAAAGAGACATCAGCAGGAAAGTTCAGGAAATCTAGAAGAGAATGATTTCAGAAAAAACGTAGAGGAACATTTAATGAATGTAGTGTGTCAATATTAGCAAAGGATATAGTTCAAGTTGATTATTGTGTATGAAGATCATTGTTGAGTGTTGTCAAAGCAACTGTAGGGAAGTGACAAAAGCCGCATTTTGATGAGTGGATCATTGAGTGGAGTTGTGAATGGGAAAGAGATTGGAGACAGCAACTATACTAACTAGTCCACATTGAACATGTAGCAGCATTTGCATAATACAATTAAGAAATGACTGAAATCAACTTGGCTAACAAAGAAAATTAAGAGATAAGAGAGTAGAAGGGACTGTGCAGATCTGAAGATCATCTGTTGTTTATGAGAAAGCAGTTGACACTGGTTGTTTTCTCAAAACATGATGAGTGCAGCTCTAGACTACAGAGAGCTCGGTGTGAATCATGCTAGTCTATAAAAATTCTTTGGTGTGGATACGTTTTTCTGAGAGTATAGTACTAATAGCAAAGAGAAGGTAGAATTTCCATAATTATTTATGACAAACTAGAGTTAATTGTGGGCATTATTATCACCATAAGTAACAAATGTAAGCTCTAATTTACTGCCTCTGGCTGACAGACAAAAAAGAGGGTCCCTGCAAAGGTCCTCTGAATTCGGTGCTTTCTCCTCTTCACTGTGTTCTGTCTTTGATCGTAATGCTGTGACACTTGTTGAATAAGTCATTTAAACTGACCTCTCGGATCTCAGCGTAAGATATATTTTGAAAAGAAAAATGATTACAATTAACAGAATACTGTCTGAAAAATATATATGCTGTTTGCATCTTTCCTAAGAGGCATAACAATTTTTTAATTATAAAAATGGAAGACATATTTGCTCAGACATGTGTTAAAGAAAAAAAAAGCAAAGCAATGAAATGCCTCAGAAGACACAAAATGCAAAACATGTGTGATATTAGAAGTAAAATTCAACTTATGTTAATAATAAGTAATAGAATAAATTATTAGAAGGGTAGTAAATAGAAATCCAAAGATTACTTCTATAAGAAAAAGTATACTACCAGGTTAGTGTAAAAATTAGATATAATTTTTCAGATGCGATTTTTAAACTTTTCAAGTATGTATTTCTACTTAGTTTTCCTTAATCAAATACATTTCAACATCTGTTTTATATTAGAAATGAATAAAATATATCCATATAAAGGGAAGGCATTGGCCTTTATTTCCTTGCATTTAATTGCTTTGTAAAGAAGACAATCCAGAGAAAATCTCTTTTTTGCTTTAGTCAAAATTAAAACTGCCTTCAGTTGCCTGCTGCTGGAACAAGTCTATACATCAGAACACTACCACGTCTTTGGAGCTGTGAATTAGGAGTAGAAATTGTCCTGCACGCTTTTATAGTTTCTGGACATTAAAATATAGTTTCTGGACTTTCCTTTGCTGGGCTGCCTAGGTACCAAGCTGTTGTATTTATTGGGCGAGTTAGAGTTGGAGCCACTGGCACTCATATATTACAGAGGATTCCTACGAACACGCCAGGGGTGCCTGGGTCAATCCATTACTCCGAGCAAGCAGTGACCAATAGAAAAGGAAGGGGAAGATCCGAAAGAGCTGAGGTAAGCTGTCTTCTGAAGCCCTGGCAAAGAGAAAAGGATCCATCAAAAGGTATTCTTGGGGACTGGTCAGATGAGGTTTGACTTTTTCTCCTGGAAAGCTTTATAGCATAAAGTAAAATAAGTCAATTTTTTTTTTTTCTCTCTCTCTCAACTGATTTTTAGCAAATTGCAGACTCATCCACAGGACTCAACGGTGTATTGCTGGAAGGCAAGGTAAACTATTTTGCATTTCCTAAAATTCTTAAAGCTCATAATTCAGAGTTCTGATTTATCAGGTGTAGGGTTACAACTTCAATATCTAAAGCAAGTCTTTACTTAAAAAAAAAAGGGGGGGAGGAGGGGGGAGAAAATTAATGAGTCTCTGTTGGAAGATGGCCAGATCAACGTTCTGCAATCGTGGGGAATTTGACAGCTGGCAGAAGCCATTGTGCACATGTCATTATGCAATTTAACAGCAAAACTGAAAGATCAGCATCTCACAAATGGCTGCATATCTTTCTCCCAGGGAATCGATATAATTTACTATGTCCTTAGTAGCAATTTGTTTAAGTAAATGTACGCTGATTAAAATGTTAATTTTTAATGTTTATGTAACATACAGATACATTTTAAACTTATATATATCATGTGTATATGTATATTTTTCTATTAAAATAGTTCTAATTATAATGTTTTATAAGAAACATCGTAAAGGGTTTATGACTTTTAAGTATATCACATGTCAGTATGTATTAACCTGTTTTTATTATCCATACTGAAATTATTAATATAAGAGAATTTCTATTATACTGTAACTTTGTATTTTGTTTTGTTTTGCTTCTTATGAAGCATAAAAATGGCTAAACAGATATGCACTACACTTAATAAATTCATTTCTATGTAATAAATTGTCTTTGTCACATAGCTATGTCTATATGTATGCACTGACAGAAGGAGATTATATGATACATATAAATACGTGAATAATATATAAGAAAAAATTCAGCTTGTTAGCTGAATAGCTGGATTCTGCTATTAATATTTTGGAAGTCTTTCCCTCATCAAAGTTAAACTTACCTGAGAAATCCAGGAACAAAAGGAGAGATTAATCACATAAATTTTCTTCAGATCCTAGAATTTTCCTTCACAATAAACTGCTGAAGTGTTCCCTGATCTCCTTGTTTCTTTGGTTCAAGGGCCAAAGAACCAGGGAATCTCTTCCAGATGGTCTTCTCATTTGGAAATAAATGAAATAGCAAAAGGAACAACAAAGACACTGAACTTGAATTAGTAAAAGATCATTTTTTGTGCTCCTGTATTCCACTACTGGTTTCAGTTCAGTCTTTCGAATTAAACAGCTTGAAATGGAAAAGCACTTTTAGGTCTCCTAAAATCTATTTTCCATTTCTCAGCTGTCACTGTGATTGGGTTAAAACCAGAAGCCTCCAAGTTGAGTTAGATTTGAAGTTTGTAAAATGTTTTTCAGATAGTGCCTGCTGAATAAACTTGCATTAATTGATAACTGCGAATGAAATGTTTTCTTTACCACTCTGCTGCAGAAGGGATGTGTACTGATCTCTTGCTTCATGCAGTTATCTAAAAGTAGAGATCTTTAAATAACTAACAGCAGCATCTCTTATTCTATAGGCAAGATAATGGCATCCCCAATCCTCTTCCTTCTCTGGGTGTTATTCATGACACATACTGCATGGACTCAAAGTGTGAGACAGCTCTATGATGTCTACGAGCCAGAGGACTGGTCTGTGCATGACTTCAGTTGTCCCAGGGAATGTTTCTGCCCACCCAGTTTCCCTACTGCTTTATACTGCGAAAATCGAGGTCTCAAAGAAATTCCTGCTATTCCCTCACGAATCTGGTATCTCTACCTTGAAAACAATGAGATAGAAACCATTCCTGAGAAACCACTTGTGAATGCCACCCAGCTTAGGTGGATCAATTTAAACAAGAACAAAATAACCAACTACGGAATTGAAAAAGGAGCCCTAAGTCAGCTGAAGAAGCTGCTCTTTTTATTTCTGGAAGATAATGAGCTAGAAGAAGTACCTTCCCCACTGCCAAGAAGTTTAGAGCAATTACAGTTAGCTAGAAACAAGGTGTCCAGAATTCCTCAAGGGACCTTCAGCAATCTGGAAAACCTGACCCTTCTTGATCTACAGCACAATAAACTATTAGACAGTGCCTTTCAAAGAGACACCTTTAAAGGACTCAAGAATCTTATGCAGCTAAATATGGCCAAGAATGCCCTAAGGAATATGCCGCCAAGATTGCCAGCCAATACAATGCAACTCTTTCTGGACAATAATTCCATTGAAGAAATACCAGAAAATTATTTTAATGTTATCCCAAAAGTAGCCTTTCTGAGGTTAAATCACAATAAAATATCAGATACAGGCCTTCCTTCCAGGGGGTTTGATGTGTCATCAATTCTAGATCTGCAACTGTCTCATAATCGCCTCACAAAGTTTCCCCGAATCAGTGCCCGTCTGCAGCATCTGCACCTCGATCATAACAAAATTAAAAGTAAGTAAGCATCACTGTCTTAGAAGGGGATGTCCCCCTGCCTGACATTTACCTATATCTTCTGTTAGAATGGCAATTGCATTGTGCTCACAACTAAAATGCCCTTCATTGTTAATGTATTTTCAATTTTAATGCTACTTTTTTCTATTTGCAACCTTAATAAACTAAGTCCAAATTAAAGACTGAAAGTGGACCTTAGTAATCTTCAGAGATTTAGTGTCTATAGGAGAAACTAACTCTCTATCTTTGAATCATAAAGATTCTGCCATGTCTGTCTTGGTAGGAAGATTAGTTTAAGAAAGTGTGCTGGGAGCCAACATCATAATATGGAATAAATGTATTATGATTTAAGAGAAATTAGGGAATCAACTGCACCCTAAATATTTAGGTCAATTCATGACTGAAAAATTCCTATTAGAACCTCTGATTAAAAACCTCTAAATCAAATTTCTCACACTTTCCTTTGCACAGGTTTGTGGCTCCGGTCCAGAGTACCTGTCTTGAAAATTTTCATTTCTGACAAGTTCTTAGGCGAGGTTCCTGCTGTTTCTCTGGGAACCGCACACTGAGAACTGCTACTGCAATTTACTACTTTACTTGATTGAAATGAAGTTAAATGTCCTTGGGAGTTGGTAATTTCTTGGGTCTTTTAAACAACCTTTTCTTTCCTGAATGGAGCTTTTGATATGGGAATGAGAGATGAATACAAAATTCTTTGGGGCAAAGGTATCATGAAAGGAAGAAGTGGGTAGAGAAACTAAAGGCTGAATATCTCAGAAATAAACTTGACCTCTTTACAATTGTGCCTAAGGTCAGGGCGCATCTGGTGTACCCTTATCTTGGGCCAGCCACAGAGTCATCGATTCTGTTCATGGATATTCAACCCTGATACAAACCCTTAGGAACATAACTTCGGGGAGTTTTTTTCCTTTGAATCTTCATAAAACACATTCATAAGTGAGATTTAGTCAAAGTGGCCTGAAGAACATACACAGATAATTGTCAGAAGGTGCAGTTTCCTGGCTTTAATGAATCAGAATTTCCTGTAACCAAATAATCACAGTATTATATATGATTTATAAGAACAGACTATTTTTCCACTGGATACTGCTTAACTGTTCAAGATTTTTATAACAGCATAGTTGAGCATAAAATTCAGGAATTAAATGGCAGATTGCCACCACAGCAGTTAGCTTTCCATAGTAAAAAAAATATATTGTTTAATCCTGTAGTCCAAAGAAAAAGATCCAACTGGAAAAAAAACCCTCATTCATTGATGAATCTCTTTAGCTGAACCAAGTAGTCCAATGGCCAATAACCAATACTTTCGTACATGTACAGTTTTTTCCTGATGAGTCTTCTATGCTTTTACAGGTTCATTTCTCATCTGACAGCAAAGACCTACAGACGACTCATGTGAGAAGTTAACTTTAAGTGATTTCACATACAGTCCTTGTTTGTGAATTGAATATTCTACCCAGACAATTTGACAAAGTGCATGTTTAGGGAAGTGTTTGCTTAGATGTTTCTATTTTTCACTTTTTTCTTATCTTAGTGTTCATCAGAGTCTTGGAAGGCTTCTGAAATAGAGGTTGTGTGGTCCAACTTCTGAAACAGAGGTTGTGTTGTTTGATTGTTTGTTTTTTGCACTAGGAATCGAACTCAGGATTACATACTTGCCAGGCAAGCATTGTGCCATTGAGCTATATCTCTGAACGTTTTCAAGTGATTTTGGTACAGTGGGTCTCAGCAGAGGCCTAACTAGTATATAATACTGTGGATTCATGACTTGGGAGCCTCTTGTTCATTCTCTAACTCTTTATGATATTATTACAAATTTCCACAAAGGACAAACTAAAGCTCAGCCTAGCAAGGATAGTCACTGAAGAATAATTACCAGAATTTTACATTAGAGCTTTTTATTTTAAATAAAGTAGATTAAAATTTATACTCCTCTAATAAACATATGTTTCTTCCATTCAATTCCATTGAATATAAGAGTTTAACAAGAATTTCTAAAATCAGAAAAGCAACAACATTGATAAAGAGAAATCCAGTCATTTGTTTCTTAATATAGATATAAAATGTGGTTGTTTTTATACTCCAAATAAGCAAATATGAAACAAAATTTTCCTGACTCTAATTATTGGTATATAATTACACCACAGGATGTTATAATAAATGGCAAAGTATTCTTAGCTCCTCTTGTCACATAACCTAGTTGTTAATAAAATAGTTTTCAGTAAACATATATTTTGTATGTAGAATCTTCAAAATTTATCAATTTTCTCATGCAATATGATTGACATAGTCATTTCTTCTGAATATTTTTGAGGACTTTAAAATTTTGTTATACTTTTTATATACTCAAATAACTTAGTTCCTGGTATGCTTGAGAAAAATCATAATTTGTGAAAAATAATCTAAAAATTTAGAGTGCTTGTCATTTTCTACTTATTCAGATGGCACTGGTTTTGAGTCTAGAGCACAGCAAGGGTATGAGATGACACACAGGGAGGGACAATTCTCTCCTCCCGGCAGTGGATGCTATGTAACAGGAAAAGATTAATGTTAGCCCACTGTTCCTATAATGTTCAGGTTGGAGAAGTAATATTGCCTGATAAAGTTTATGTAATTATAAAATGAAAATGTATGAGAAAAAACTTTAAAGCCACAACATTGCTAGTTATGAGTGTTTTATGAAATTAAATTCATATAATGGCATAAGATTCAAGCAAAGCAATCTTAAGCATAAAAATCTTTCCAAAATGTGATTATTTACATAATGAAAGGACGGAGACAAGAGGCACTGCCCAAGTTAAGTGGGCCTAGATAAGAAAGATTCTTGCTCAAAATAGTTTCAGACAGATGTTGAAAGCCAATATATAATCTGGACTCAGTGAGACCAGCTGGTCTATACTTCTCTGGAGTTTGTCAATTCAACAAGTCATCTCTCTGGAGGACGTTCCTAAATCTCAGTATAGGCATGGATGCCAAGGGCTCAGATCAGGGCGGGTGCACAGTTTCATCCTACCCACATGAAAAGGTTGATGTGCTATTTCCTGGCTTTGATTCTTTGCAGTTCATTTCTTGGCAAATGTGTCCTTCCCAATTACATACAGGTATATGTAGAGATTGAAGATTGTGTTTAGGAAGTGTTATATATGCAAACTTACGTTAATTACTTTTTTAAAAAATTGTCATCCAACAATAGTTTGCATCTTGTGAGGTACTTTTCAAGCATTTTGCTTTATATTGGATTGACCTCTCTTTATCCATCCTCCCATCTAACCATTCATTCAACCTTTTATCTACCCAATTTTTCAGCACCAGTTCTGAACACTTGTGTCCATCTGTGTCTCATCTTTCAGCAGTTTAAATATGTTTCATCCCATCTGTGAGCATAAAGGAAAGGTAATATGTCTCACACACCTTTGCTCACAGTACAGTTCTTAATACTATTTCCTTTCTACTGTCCTGTTTTAAACACAGCAGATCATAGAGTGACGTGACTACACACCAGCTGCACCCTTTTACCAGGTTACTTTTATAAAAGGAATGCATAGTCGCTACATTACAAAAAAAGTTGTCTATTTCTCTAGCACTATCATTCTTCATGCCACTAGATCCTCCGTAGGCCACTGCAGTAGTTTCTTGCTTGTTCAGCCTCTGCCATTTCTTGTGTCCTAATGAGTCATTGTTGCTATCTTTGACTCTATAGGTGTGAACGTCTCCATGATATGTCCTACCACCACATTGCATGCAGAACAAGACGTTTTCATTCACGGACCTCAACTGAGCTACCTCCGACTGGATGGGAATGAAATTAAACCACCGATCCCAATGGATTTAATGACATGCTTCAAGCTTCTTCAGGCTGTTATTATTTAAGTACATCTTTAGCAATTCCAGAATTAGCTTTTAAACGAGCTAAAATTTCCAGCTGCTCTTGGCAACCATTTTCATTGTGCAGCTTATTTTTTTTTTCTACACTAAAATGCTTCTGCAATCGGCCAGTGACATACAGTGCAACTTGTATTAATTTTCTTCTCAATTAATATATCAGACACAGAGTTAATAAGATTATCAACTCAAAGATAGTTATGTTGTTTCTGTTACAACTGATTAATACCAAGTAATGCATTTACAGTGTGAAAGTGAGAAGCCCATATTTGTTTTATGTTCAAACTTAATTATGCAGGTGCTATACTTACACTATAAACACAGGAATCAAAGAGGACATAGGCAGATTGGAAGCAAACAAAAATTTCTTTCTCATGATTATGATGAAACACACGCAGACTGTTGAATGGATTTTGGGCACACAACTTAGGCATTTTAACATAAGATGGGTACGAAATGACTCAAATACTTCGCAGAAAGAGATTTTTTGTCCTTTAACACTGAATAGCAAAGCAGAAGCCATCTAAATTCATTATCGTATTACAGCTCTTTCTCTTAGATACACTGTCTTCTAGCAATTGAAGAGGTTCTAAAATTTACATTTATTATAAAGCATTTCTCACAGAATCATCATGTTTTTACACTTGGAATTGCAAATTAATCAATTTTCATTTTGATCATGATATTTGAATTTTATAAATAAGAATTAAAGGCTTTCTAATAATCCAATAAAATGTTTTGAGAAAATTATTCTCATTTCATTTAGGGACATATAATAATAAAAAGTGCCATACTTATAATCGTTTTACTTTTTCTAGCATGAATATATGCAATCATATTTTTAATCTGTCTTCCTTTTCCTTATCTTTCCTGTAAAAGTAGAAAAAATATTGTATTGTTCTTATTTTACATACTTGTTTCTCATGAGTTAAAAAAGTAATCCAATATGTCATTATGTGATAAAGTGTACTTTAAACTTTTAGTTTTGTAAGATAGGTACTATCAACAATAAACATTCCAGAGAGATTAACTGGCATTGTTATAAATGTTTTCAAATTGTGCTCTCAAAAAAAATCATAAAGGTTGACCTTTTTTCACTCCAAAACAGGATAATATAGTCTTAGGATCAAAAAGTTAAAAAGTGTTCAATAGATTACTACAAAGACCCTCAAAAATTTACCATCTTTCACACTGTGAATTCTCAGAAAAATAGTATAATGTCCAGCATTATCTATTTTCCCACCAAAACTAATTTGGAGGTAAAGAAGAACCAATCTTCGTATTGTAGTTTTTGAAATACTACATGTGGGCAAGTAATCAAAATAATTCTTATTCAGATGATAAATATTTTTTTAAAATATCTCAATGCACATAAATATAGTTATGAAAGTTACATGTTATATAATTCTACCCTAAGAGAGTTTGGTAGACATTGGTAGATTTGGAAAAAAGAATACATAAATGAATAACATTACTATTTAAACATTTGTCTCATGAAAATATATTTCTGGAAGCTCAAAACTGAAGAATAGGATTTATGGGTAAAATTCTAAGGATTTATATTTTTGCAGTAAGTACAGACTGATTTTCTAATATAATTGTTCCCCTCTTATCCATAGGTTCACTTTCTACATTATCAGTTATATATGGAAACCCTTAGTCTGAAACTATTAAATTGAAAATTCTATAAATGTACAATACAAAAGAAGTTTCTACTGTTCTGCTCATTCCCACATAGGGCACGGATCACCCCCTTACTCAGCATATCTTGTTATATACCTAGCCTAACTTAAACCATCTGAATTATCAGAACTGCCATCGCAGTATCACAGTGCTTGTGGTCAAGTGATCCTATTGCAGTAGACTTAAACTGCTTATGTAACAGGCATACACTTCTCTATTCATCCTATCCTGTAGGCATTAAATCATTTTGGATCATTATGAGAAGAGTGAATGTGGCACAATAAGACAGTAAAATATTCACGTAGGTTTTATTATGGTACACTGCTATCCAGTGGAGCCTCGCAGTTTGAGCCGGTCGCATTCCTAGGGCACCTGCCAATTGTGGAAAACTGTGGATTTCAGATATCGTCAGAAATATGCCTATACGTGCCTATTTTTATAGTTTAAACACTAAATATGGTGTCTCCTGCAGTTATGTAATTTTAAAATTTAATAAATACTGTATTAATAAAGTCTCAGAGATTCAGGGCAATTTGGCGGAATCTCTGGCATCTTAGGGTTTTTATAAAGAACAAAATCTAGAACAACCGCGTCTGTTAGGACGCAGGAAAGCTGGAGTATCTGCCAGAGATTCATTAATGGGCTGGAGCCAATCAGCAGCAAGCAGAACTGAATATTGCTCTTGGATTGGCTGCTTACAAATCATCCCCACACACACATGCGCGAGCGCAAATTATATTTGCAGTTTCCCTGAAATTGTGGGGGTTTCCTCGCACAATTATTAGGTTCTGCCCAAAAATCTGCCAACAACTGAGGTCACAGTCTCTGAGCCACAACATTGCAGGAGTGCACTGTAATTATATTTTTATTAGTTGTTAGGATCTTTTCTGTGCCTAATTTTATAAATTAAATTCTATTATAGGTACATAGGCATAGTCAAAACCCAGTGTATGTATCTTGGCATTATGTGGGTCAAGTATTCATGGGACTTGTTTTTTTCACAGATAAGGAAGAACATAATTATTCAAAGTCACCCAGCAATAAAGTCAATTTTTCTTGCGGTTGAGTTCATCCGTCAGTTTGTTCAATAAAGAAAGAACGATGACACAAGACAAATGGTATAGAAAATATAGAAAGGTTTCTTATCTGAAATCAAGATTGTTCTAAAATATTCCTCATAGAGATTTTCTAATATAAAAATAACCTTTCATCTCTTTCTTTCTTCTGGTATTTATTTCAAATATTTATTCAGTATTACATATATTTTAGACTGGAAAACAAAAACGAGGTAATCTTTTTCTATTTTGTCCTATCGTGCATAAAACTCAAATGACAGAAAAAGTTTTAAAAGTAATGTAGAATTTCATCTGCAACAAATGTTATTAACACTGCAAGGGGTAAAGGGATTAATAATGCTTTTTGATAGGTTTGTCTAAGAATAACATTAAGCAGACAAATAAATCATGAAAAGTGTATAACATTAGGTGAGAGAGTAGAACATTCCAGGCATGATTGAAGACTGGTTCTTTGGAACACTTTGGAAATTTTAACAAGAGTTTTAAAGCAAAAGGCACTTTGTTCATTGAGGGATAATAACATCATGTATTGATAAAGAACATGAACTCAAATTAAAACTGCTGCATCTCAATCCCAGCTTCACCACTCAGCTATTATGTGATCCAAGGTGGGATCTTCACATTCTCTGTGGCTGCTTTTTTTCATTTGTAAAATAAAGACAAGTCATAACACCTAACTTATGGAGAAGTTTAAGTGAATTAGAACATAGATCGTGCCCAGCAGACCTTCTGACATATAGTAAGTGCCAGATGATTTATGTGGATGTTCCTGTGTTCCTTCTTGATGTTGTGCATAACAGTACAAAGGCAACCAAGCCCTTATGTGAGTATATCCACTAGGCCTTCAGTGTCACAGAATCAGCTAGAAAAATCTGGCATTGAATAGAGGACTAATGATGGTCTCACCAGAGTATTGGATAACTCTGAGTTCTAGGAGATGAAACTGTCAAGAATAGGTGCCAGATTTTGTTGGAAAGTGGTGAAAGAAAAGATACTAAGGTTATTGGTTTGCAAAATATCATAGACAGCAGTACATTTTTAAAAACAGGTTAGAAAATATTGTTAATTCATAGGCATAGCGTGAAATTACTTTATGAAGTTGTTGAATGATGCCAGAAGGATGAGCATGTTCTAGGCTTTGTTAATTCATTCAGTACCCTTAGAATAATTCCCCACTGAGATACCCAGACATCATTGACAGAAGACTGTTCTGTGATAAGGGACAAATTTGGAGAACACGGCATTTATTACACGTATTGATAAATGAAGCTATAAAAGATGCACTAGTATTCCTATTTGCAGTTGTTTTTGTTGTTATTCTTGTTGGTGAGATATGCATAAAGTGACTAGAGCTTTCTTAAATTTTTCAGATGATAGTTTGATCTCTGCCCAATTTCATGTATTTTGTTGTTATTATAAAAATTTTTCAAGCTCAATGACTTGAGAAAAAGCTCATGCCATTCCTTTCAAATATGAGTTCTTAATAATTATGCAATCTTGATTTTAAGTACCTACTCACACAAAAAAAGAAAAAAAAAATTGTAATTTTTCTATGTAAATAGCCTGAACAACAGCAAACAGGACACAGAGTAAAAAAAAGAAAGAATGAAATGAGTAGGAACTTTATACAAATGATACATTTTTTATGTGCAGTGTTTTAATGAGAACAATCTTGTAAGTGTCTCTTTTATGTAATTTGCACAAAGTCTCCTAAAACAGAAAAACTACAGCACAAATCTAGCATGGTAGAAGAAAATTTCCGGTTCACATTTTTGATAATGGTGATGTCAGAGAATACTATGAACCCTCAAAAATAAGTAGATATAAATGTGTGTGTGTGTCCATGTGTATGTATAAGAATTAGGAAAGAAAAACAAATATTTTTGTGCTCTTACACACAAATCACAGTGTTTCATATGATCACAAATACACATGGAGAATTTTCTCTTGCAGACAGAGACTAATTTTCCTATAATTCTGTCCTATCCTATCCTATCCTATCCTATTCTGACACTTGATAGTGTCAGGCCCCATAGATTAAAGTCCATGTCTACCAGACTGACTGCAAATTACCACCTTACCTGAAGTCTCTCCCAAGCTTTGGTTGTTTTAGTATGATGGTTTGCAGGGTTAGAGAAACATTTTGCTAATGTTTACTGATCTAAACTAGTTTAGAATAGCTGTGTTACAAAAGAAGTAGATGCAATCATACAAGGCAAGCCATTTAGGAAGGAATAGAGCTTCCAGATGCCCCAGCTGCAACGTTCCCAGTTCATACTGGTGTTCAGCAGATGGGAAGCTCTCAGAACCCTACTCTTCATTTATATTCATCTTTTATGAAAGCTGCTTTTACATTGATTGCATCATTCGCCATTGGCAGTCAGCTCAACTTTCAGCTCCTCTTTTCCTAGATATCAGAGAAAGGGACAGACAATTCTAACTTTTAATCACAAAGTTATTTGCCTTAGCAAGCAGCCCACACCCTGAAGCTTCTAGGAGATGCCTCTTTTGAATATTTCATAGGATTTAGGATCTTGGAATTTCTGTGCCAGGAACCAGGGTCAAAGAGTAAAAATTAGAACAAAAGACTTTCCTAGTATCCTTGTGTTGGTTACTTTTCTCACTACTGAGACAAAATATTGGACTCCCACAAGTTAAAGGAGGAAAGGTTCGTTTCAGCTCACAGTTTATAGTGGTTTCTGTCCCTGAGTGGCTGGTTGTGTGGCAAAAGAGAAAGATTTTATGGGAGGCAGGCTAAAGACAGCAAGTAGCAGCAGCAAACCTACGCCTTCTTTAGTCCCTTTAGGTTTTACCCAGGCTACAAGCCGCATGGTTGATCCCACGCATTCCAGGGTGGGGCTTATCCTTAATCCTGGTATCACACTGTTAAATCGTATTTACACACTCTAATCAAGGCACCTTTGAAACACCTCATCTATGACCACATAAAGGTTTACAGGGACGTCTAGACATGTAGAAGCCATAAAAGTCCTCATCTACAGATGTTCTAGGAGCTCTGTGTTAGGACACTGGGCTCAGTTCTAAGAATCCTGCATTGACAAGAAGGAATATAAAATTTAAAGAGTGCATTTTTATAAGTTAAGTAGAATTTAGAAATACAGAACATATAAATGCTAAATTAATACAAAGGAAAATAGGATGAACAACTATGGAATCGAAAAGGAAAGGACAGAAAGCAAAGAGATGGAATGAGGGAAAAGGGAGAGAAAGAGATGAAGACATAAAAATGATCAAAATGTGTTATACACTT